TACCGCCATTCGCTCAGAAACACCGGTGAAAAATGTTTCATTTCAAGTGCTGTGTCGACATCGGGTTATTTTTAAAACTATATTGTGGATATACAGGACAAATAGACATTATTCTCAATCACAAGCCTGATATTTGAGCCCAACAAGTGCCCCAAATGCCGAAAAAAGTGATTAGAAACCAAGCAATTCTGACCATAGACGGAAGCGCAGAAAAGTTCGGTTTTTCGCTTTATAAAGGTATGTGGTATATTACTACGGGGGTCCAGGGGGCGTAGCCCCCTGGCTAGGCGCATTTAATACCATGGGGGTCCAGGGGGCAGAGCCCCCTGGCTAGGGAATGTATAGATCGTAGTGTATAAATCCCACAGGGTTAGGTTAGGTTGGTTAGGTTATGTTATGTTAGGTTAGGTTGGTTAGGTTAGGTTAGGTTAGGTTGGTTAGGTTAGGTTAGGTTAGGTTAGGTTAGGTTGGTTTGTTAGGTTAGGATGCATTGTCCGATTACCACAGGGGATCTGGATTATGTGAAATCCCGTAGATTTTTACCGAACGGTGGGTTTGGTTCCCGTAGAGTTTTTCGAAATTTGGCGCGCCGGTCCGTAGACTTTGAAAGATTTCATTGTCCGATTTTAAGCGTTTTTTGTGCTTGTTTTACACATTTCTGCTCTCTTTTTTGCTTATTTCAGTCTGTTTTACCCCGTAATTTCCCTGATCTACTTCATGCCCTCCCCTGCTATCGGGACTTATGAAAACACATCAAGATTGTCGGCTGGAGAATCCGACGGAGAATATCATCAGATTCGTTCTCATCACACGAGAACAAATCTGATGATATAAACATTGTCAGGGAAGACCCAGTTGTCATTTTTGGAAAATTAACCCTTTATTTTTATATTCTTTGTTCTTTTTTATATTCTTTGCCTTGCAGATATTATCCAGCTTTGCAAGTGCACTTGTGGCTCTTCCAATTCTGATTCGAATCTCTATTCGATTTTCTATCTTCTAGTGTTGATCCTAAATATGTGAAATTCTTCACTTGCTCTAATCTTTCACCGTGTACCTTTACATTGACTATCTGATCATTGATGTTTTCTCTTTTTCCTACAACCATTATTTTGCTTTTCTCTGCACTGATTTCCATTCCAAATTTTTAGAAGCTTCTTCCCTCAATGTAATTTCCTAAATACCTTCTTCACTTACCTCCATAAGATCAATGTCATCGGCAAACCTTAAAGGAATAGTCCAGAAGGTAGTAGAATGTGGTTATTTTTACTTTATTTGCAAAATAAATAATCTAAATAAACATCCCAAGGCATCATTTTGTAAATTCATTCACAACACTAGACTTTATAGGCCATTTTATCTAGCATTTTTGCTCCTGAAATCCGTCTGCTACAAAATGTTGCCGGTGGCGCCCCCATACGGGTGTGACGTAGCACCATGTATATGGGTCAGGAGACAATATTGGAGTGTTTGAGTTTCCAGATCGGGAGAGATCGCCGGACCGCTTCCGATTTTAGTGTAGTTTGGTTGCCGTACTTGGAAAGATTTTAGATTCAGTAAAGGGACGTCGCGGTTGTGTGCCGATCATTTTGATTCCAATCAAATCGAGATTTGGATGCGCATAAAGTTAATGAAGGAGGAAGACCCAGTGGCAGCCAGAAAAATTCATTGGAGACTGATACCACACGCTAGGCCCAATCCATCCTCCTTCCGTCTGCCAGTGCAGGATCGACGCCCCAACCCAAGCAGCCCCATCAATAGGCAATTCCATCGAGCCAACTCGGAGGAGGCCTTGGCCTTGGGAAACTACTTCAGAGGACATGGAGATCACTAAACGTCCCAGAAGGGTTGCTGCTGCAATCAGAGAAAGGAAAAGGGTAAGGCCTAGGTTGTTTTATTGGCTGATTTAGAATTCGGAGGCCGAATTCGAAATCCGTTCCTTTTTGGGACCCAGGGCCTTGGACATGCCGAATAGGGCATAGAAGGCCCCCTATTTATTTTTTAAATGAAGTGAATGGTCATGATGGTGGCAGCCTGTATAGTGGCATCCCTATTATTATCGAAATATTGCTTGATGGGGAAGCACAACTCATGAGATGTCTTGGGAATAGGAAAGAGAGGTTAGGCGTGCTTGGCATTGACCCCCCCCCCCCCGCCTAGGCCATATGCATAATATATATTTTTCATCTTATTCTTTCAGCTTGTTGAAGATGCTCAGACAGACATGGCACAGAAAGACCTGGAGATGATGGCTCAACAAGATACAATTTCAGACATGATGGATACTGATGTAAGAGAGGTCGCTGAGGGGCATGGCCTGGAGACTGGCAAATCCAAGGTAGGCAACATTGGTGTCATTCAATTCCTGGCATGAAATTTGAGTGGCGCTGCCACTAGGTCTACACAGTACACCCCATGGGAAAATTTAAATTTTAAAAGTGTAGGCCTGCCAAGGCCATGGAACAAATTAAGGGGTATCACCATGTCTCTTTTTTCAATTTTAAAACAAATCTTTTATTTTTCAGGTAACACAGAGATATTCACATCCAAGTGAACAGGCGGCCAACTCATCGCTCTACCAGGGTTCAAGTCTGCCCAAAGACATTTTCCCAGGGTAAGTTTATCTTTTAAGACGAAATAACCAGTATGAACATTTGTTTTGTTCCTGGACTTCAATATAGAGGCACCAATATGACACAGAAATATCAGTATGTTAGAAGTCATATTACAGATAATTTTCGGCCACTAAAAGACGTACGAGTACTAGTTATCTCCACTTTCAAAGATGTACTAGTATTAGTACGTTTTCGAAAGGGCCTGAAGAAGGCCCTGGTGGCCGAAAATTAGCTATAATATGACTTTTCTCACATACTGTTTTTTTCCTGCATATGCATAATTATTTGACATCTTTTTCTTCACAGGTACTCAGATCCTGTTGTATTTATGTTCTTGTACTGAGAGGGTCTCACTTCCAGTCGACCCTATTCCATCTGATGAGGAAGAAGAAGAGCCATTCAACCAGGATTCAGACCCTGATTATAACCCAGAAATTGTGAGAAATTGTGCATGTCGGCCGGCTGCCTGTTTATCTAGAGTTTTTATGTTCTTTCTGCGATTTATTTTCAGGAAGGATCCTGCCTCGGAAAAGAAATATCTGGTGTTCCATTCTTGCCTGATGGCTTTATTTGCTATCTGTGCTTTGTGTTCTTGGTTGGCATCTGGAAAAATCAGAAGGGTCGGAACATTTATATCTGTGGATCAGAGGTGTACTAACAAGGAGTGTAACCTCAGGAGGTAAGTGCGAAAATTCAATTCAGTGTTTTTATTATTGAGGACAATAATATTATTATAGCAGCAATGATCCATAGCCTTTTAATTTGAAATTGTAATCTACCCTTTCCATTTCAGGAAATGGAGTAGTCAGCCAATATATGGAGAGACTGTGCCTGCCGGAAATGCCTTGCTATCCAGTGCAATATTGTTTGCCGGAGCCATTCCTTCCAAAGTGCTTGTGGTTTTAAAACACCTTGGCCTGCAGATCATGTGTAGAAATACATTTTTCACGTATCAGTCAAGGTATCTGTGGCCAGCTGTTGAAGCAGTCTGGAAACGTGAGCAGCATGAAGTCTTGGGAGCCGTGAAAGAGAGAGCAACGCTACTTGTAATAGGAGGTGATGGTCGCGCTGACAGCCCAGGGCATTCAGCAAAATACAGTTCCTATTCTCTGATGGATCTCGACACAAAGAAAATTTTGGACATTGAACTGGTGCAGGTAGGTCACTTGTCTTTTCTCAAGGAGGGGGAGGGCGGTAATGGAACTTACAATAATAATATTTTCAGACCATTTTCAATTTTTTCTTCTTTCATTTTAGTCCACAGAAGTAAAGTCGAGCACTCACATGGAGAAAGAGGGACTCATCAGATGCGTGAAATTTTTGAAAGAACTGAGCCTGGCTATTTATACAAGAGTTACAGACAGACATGTGCAAATCATCAAGTGGTTATGTGAGGAGCTGAATGAAACAAATCATTATTATCACCTCTACTATGTGGCAGCCAACACTCCTGGCAGCAGGTGAGATTTTATATTCATGTTGATCACCAAAACAATAAGCCTACTTGTCAATGAGCATAAAATTTACTTAGTAATTCTAACTTTTTATTTTCAGGAACCAAGGTGTCGTGCAAACTCACAAAACTGATAACTGCCACCAGGTTTGTCAAAGATGTTGGGAAAATGTGCAACAGACATCTGGCCTCGAGGCCTTTCACAGTGTCATAAATCAGTTTGCGCCAAAAAAGTTCCATTTCCATCATGACGGCATGGCCAGCTGGTAAGTGTGATGTCCAGTACTTCTTCATAATTTTTATAATTGATCATGTTTAACCAAGATAAGACCAGACTTTTTTACGAGTTGTTTTGCTGACTTTTTATAATATTAACAATAAATTTGTTGTTTTGTTTGGTATCTCGACTGCTTGCAAGTGGGCGGTAGGCCTAGTGGGCTGGAGAAAACTCGTGAAAATAAATGTTCTTTTAGCATGAAAAATCTGGCCTGATAAGCCTGCATTTTTTAAAAAGTATACTTTTCTGAATTTCAGACTTTATCTTGCTGGACTCCATTATAACAAGAATGGTAACAGGGAGCAGGTGGTCACTCAATCAGGTGTAGACCGGTGGCAAGTTATTTTTCCTAAAGTGAAGAAAGGAGGCTGCTCTGTTTGTTACATCAAGAAAGCAAGCACGTACAGTAAGTATTACCAAAAATAGATAGTCACTGCATTGACAATTGCCAAATCAAATGGATGTAAATATTTCAGTCTAACTTGCGGTGTTCCATCTACAACTGTACCTTTATCTGGATCAGTGACAGTGAATAACACTACTGGCAGTTCAGTGCAACAAGTTCCACAATACATGTAAATTCACAGCAAGGCCATTTTGAAAAAAAAATTCACTAAGTACTTCTACTTTGGGTGATAACCTTTTCTGAATGATCTTAAGCAAAACCTTGGATGCATGACTAATCAAGCTATTTGCTCGGTGTTCTGAACACTTCCTACTGTTTGCCTTTTTTGGTATTGTTATCAACAGACTATCTGTCCACTGACTTGTCCATTTTTTGTCCTCCGCTATTGTGTTACATAGCTTTTGAAGTACTTTTGCTGTCACTTCTCCATCAAATTGTAATAGTTCCGCTAGGATGTTATCCACACCAGGTGCCTTGCCCTTTTTTAATTCTTTAATCGCAATCTCTACCTCCGATAGTAAAATCTCTTCTCTCATATCATCTACTTGTACTGACTCGCCTAATACTTGCAAATCCTTTTCTATCTCATAGTTGTACAGTTCCTCACAATATTCCTTCCACCTCTTTGTTGTTTCATCAACTTTTGTTATTAATTTGCCTTTGCTGTCTTCAATTACATTTGCAGGTTTTCGTTTTATTTCAACAATCTGAGTATCACAGAGTTTCTTTACCACTGCAAAAGCCGCCTTTGTATTATTTCGGTTTATATTATCATCTATTTCTTTTGATTGATCTTCAATCCAGTTGTTTTTGGCTACTGTTAGTGCATTTCTCACCTTTCTATTTGTTGTCCTATACTCTGCTAGCTCTGCAGCACTTAAATTTCTCTTGTTCCGTTTCTTACGTCTATCATCACAAATTTCGATTATTTCCTTTGTTAACCATATTTTTTTTTTATTATTCTGGATTTTCCTAACTTTTCTTCTGCAACTTTTCCTATAATGTTGGTGAATTCATCACACATAGTCTGTGGATCTTGATCTACCAGAAATAGTAGTGGTGCAAATCTACCAGCTAATTCTTGTTGATATTGCTCTACGACAGTAGCATCTTTTAGCCTATTCAGATCATAGTATGTTCTATTAATATTGTTGCTTTTATTTATTTTAAGCTTTATCTTCATTGTCATCACCACCAGTCACAAATCTTCTTGAGATGAAGATATAATCAATTTGATTATGTATCATTCCATTTGGTGAATGCCATGTAGTTCTAGATATTTTGTGATTGAAGAATGTGTTTGCAGCAGTTAGTTGATGTCTTTTTGCAAATTCAAGCAGTTTCTGACCTCTTTCGTTTGTTTCTCCAAATCCAAACTTTCCAGTTGTTCTTTTCCATGTTTCGTAAGCATCCGTCCCAATCTTTGCATTCCAATCTCCTTGAACTACTAATATGTCTTTCCTGGGGATTGTCTTTAAAAGTTTTTCTAGATCTTCATAAAAGTCTTCGATCATATCATCACTGCATTCGCTTGTGGGGGCATAAGCATGGATAATACTCAGGTTAAACGGTTTTCCTGCTATTCTGATTGCTGCAATTCTCTCACTAACTGGTGTAAACTCCATCACTGATTTTCTTGTGTTCTTGTTAACTAAGAACCCAACTCCGTGAATACTTTTCTTGTCGTTACCACTATACCATACTTTATGACCATCTTCAGTTGTTCCCTCTCCAATTCCCTTCCATCTCATCTCAGAAATTCCAAGCACATTCCATTCCATGAAAGTGCCGTCCTCTCGGGCTGGAGGGATTGTCCTGGTGTCACAGATAGGCCACGAGAGCTGATTAAGAGAACCTTTATTGAAGTCTTACCCTTCTGGTTACAGGAAAGTATATCAGGGCAAGAGGATAGAACACTTGATAATCTGGCGACTGTAGCAACATGTATATGGGGTATCTACCAGAGAGCCTGAACAGGTAGTTCTAGGTATGTACCCAGGTTTACAGCATCCCAGACTACAAGGCTCCAAAATACAAGGGTGGAACAAGAAACTGCTGCAGTTGGTGAACAACCATACTGTGCTTATCACCGCCAACGAGGACATTCCACCGGTGACTGCCGAGAGAAACCAAAAGGGTATGTATGCTGGGGATGTGGTCAATCTGGACAGAATCGGAATAACTGCCCCTTTCCAGATAGGCCAGACATCGAGTCCGGACTGAACCTGACAGCAACTTCTCATCGGGCTCCCAAAGAACCACTCCCGAATTCTAGATAAGCTGGTAGACCCATGATACATCTACATGTGAATGGTGTCAAGTTAAGGTGCCTGATAGATACAGGAAGTGAAGCGACACTTCTGAAAGCATCCACACAGTAAGATCTCTCTTAACCCCTTGGTGCCGGGAATGACGTGTACGTACGTGCTATGCCCACAGTGAGTACTTGTTTGATTGTTTTTACGCATAGATGGCAACACTTGTACTAACTCCCCAATGAGCCAGTTAGGAGCACCGCCCGTCTGGCCCGTTTACCCGTTTCTTTGATTTACAAAATATTTTACGTAATCTTATTTTGCTGTTACTAATGTTGAAAAAAATTATAATGTTTATGATAAAAATAACACCATCGATTTTCATAGCTCTAGTGAAAATACGTTTTTCCCGCCATTTAAATCAGGCGCTAGCAGAGCCATCTATCGGCAGACATTTCACGAAAAACATTTTTTGTTCATTTTCCCCGGCACCATTGGGTTAAACTTTACCGTAAACCAAGTAGAAAGCTCTTAGGAGTGTCTGGAACCAATTTGGATGTGCAGGGTGAGTGTGATGTCCGAATCCACTTATCTGAGGAAAAGTTATTCGCTCATCGAGTTTGTGTTGTCCAAGGAATCAGTTTCCCAAATTATTTGCTGATTGGTATGGATGTGTTGAGGCGTTTGGAGTTAAGTTACCAGTAACTTTTACAGACTACCCTAGTCTCAAAGTAACGGTTGTAAATGTGGCAGAGGCTGAAGTGGGAAAAGTGATCAAAGAAAATGTACAGTCACCCTTCAACCAAAATCTGGTCGCTTCCTTTCGGCAAAAGTACCTTCTGTGCTTGGAAGAGCCTTCTAATGATGCTTTCGTTATGCCTAAAAGTGTGGTTACTCCGACTAATGGGACAATTCCTATCTGGGTAGTTAATACCAGCAATAAGCCACTTAGGTTAAAGGTAGGAACTCTACTTGCAGACTTGACCGATGTGCAAACCGAATCTCTTATAACATCAACACCTGAAACCACTGCAAATGATACTGCTACCGCCTTACCTGTGTCCAGCCTGTCGGATGATGATGCCGCCGCCGCCTTCCCTGTGTCCAGTCCGTCGAATGCTGCCGCCGCTGCCGCCTTACCTGTACCCAACCCACCTGACATAGAAGAGGTCGTCAACTCCATTTTTGACTTTGAAGAAGATGGCTTTGATTTACTGCATGGCCAAATGGATTTTGGGTATGGTGAAGACGAGTTCCATGGTTTATCTGAGCTAAATTTTGACCCTGCATTTCCTGAGTTTGAAGGAAAAATAGCCATGACTGGTTTTGATGCTGTGAAGGAGGAACCCCAGGTGAGTGTTGTAACGGCCCCAGCACTTCCGAAGATAACCATAATGAATTGCCATGCTTAGATCATTTGGAGGATCCTGAGAAGACAGTTTTTCGGGAGCTCTTGAGTAAGTACTCTGGACTTTTCAGTGCTGAAACTATGACATAGGGACAATTCCTGGTGTTATCCACAGAATACGAACAGGTGATGCCTCACCCACTGTTACAAGGCAGTGGAGGTTACCACAAACGGCCCGATTGACTATTCGTGAACAGTGTAATGCAATGGCCAAGGCTGGTGTCATTGAACCCTCCACAAGTCTTTGGCTGTCACCAGTGGTTCTCGTTCGCAAGAGGGATGGTACAGTAAGGTTTTGTGTTGATTTCCGTACTATGAATGCAATAACAACGTCTGACTCTTATGCCTTACCCCAGATGCAAGAAGTTATTGATGACTTACACCAGAGCTGCATTTTCACCTCATTGGATGCTTGTTCTGCCTACTGGGCTATCCCTGTGGAAACTCAAGATCGACCCAAGACAGCATTTAGTGGTGGGGCTCGTGTGTGGCAGTTCAGACGAATGCCATGTGGTCTGAAGACAGCCCCATAGACTTTTCAGAGAACTACCAATATAATACTATCTTTCATCTTAGGTCGCCACACAGCCGCTTACTTGGACGATGTTGTTATTTTTAGCAGAAATACATAGGTGCAACTCAAACACTTAGAAGAGACTCTTGAATTGTTACACAGAGCCGGTTTACGTTTGAACCCGGCAAAATGTGAGATAGCTGTAAGGAAATTAGTTTTTTGGGATTAGGACGTATCCCTTCAGCTGATACTTCAAAGGCAAGAAATTCTAACTGCTATAGCAGAAATGAGTCGCCCAAAGGATGTACGAGGAGTGCGCTGATTCCTTGGTGCTGCAGGATTCTTCCGCCTTCATATAGATGGGTTTGCAAGATTAGCAGTTCCTTTGATTTCTTTGACAAGGAAGAACAGCAAGTTTATTTGGACTAGACTCTCAAAAGACTGTTGGCATTCCTCAAAGTCTGCCTTGGTGTCTGCCCCTACCCTGCAAAACCCTAATTATGATAAACCCTTTGAGGTCCATTGTGTCACCTAAAAAATAGCCATTGGCGCATGCTTGATGCAACGAGGGCACGCCTCACGCTGTAGCCTATTTCTCCAGAAAAAAGAATGGGCCAGAGACTCGCGAAAGTGCCATTGACAGTGATGCACTTGCTATTGTAGAGGCAGTAAGGGCTTTCGACCAATACGTTTATGGACAGAAATTCACTGTGTATACTGATCACCGCCCACTGGTGTATGTGTTCACCAAGAAGACCAAAAGTCCAAGGATGTCTCGATGGTGTATTGACCTGCAACATTATAACTTTGATATCATCTATAAGAAAGGAGCTATACACCATGTACCTGATATGATATTAAGAGCTGAAAGCTCCGCAGTTGCTGCCGCCACAGAGATACTGGAGGATAATGACCCACTGGTTTTGCGTGCAGAACAGTTAAAGGACCCTACCTGGGCACAGATAGTCGAGTACCTGGAGGGTGGATTAGTTCCAACTGCAAAGTTACCAGCATCCTTGGCTGAATTTGAAGTTGGGAATGGGGTCTTGTACCATTTGCAAGAGTCAGCATTACGTCTGCCCCATGCTTCACCCCTGTCAGCACATCCAGGTATATTCAGAACATTTAATAAATCCAAAACAATGTTCTATTTCCCTAATATGCTCTCTTTTACTAACCAGTTTAAGACATTCCCAGATTGCCAGCTGAAGGCTACTCCAGCAAAAATGCACCACTAGCTGCAGCACAGAAGTTGCCCGTCCTCTTGAAAGGGTTTCAGCAGATCTGATTCAATTACCACCAACAGAAAGAGGAAATATTTATACCTTAATGATAGTTGACCACCTATCCCGTTACGTGGAGCAGAAACTATTCATTAACAATTTTGTTACAGTGTATGGGCCACCACTGGAGTTGCAGGTAGATGGGGGAGCAGAGTTTTATAACAACCTCTTGACTTCTGTTTGCCGTGAACTCCAGGCAAAATTTAAGTTGATACTACCGTACAATCCGCAAGCAAACGGTATGGTAGAGAGAACAAATAGAGTGGTAAAGGAAGCTCTGACTGCTCTTTGTGACCAGGCTGCATATTACTGGGATGATGTTCTTCCTCAGGTGAGGTTTGCTCTAAATACCTCTATACACAGCTCTGTAATGGACCAGCCATTACATTTGTTCCAGGGTCACCCAATTAATGTGCCCATAGGACTGACTATGAAATCGGTCTACGATGATGCCGCACCACATATCTTGCAGCATAGACTGCAGTTAGCTGGACTGCTGCTCAGGAAGCATGCAGGAAAGCTCGAATGGGTTGGACCAGGGATTACGATCGGAAGGTCAGGAAGCATCTGTCTTTGAAGGAAGGATCATTGATTCTCGCAAAGGTATACAGGCGATCAAATACATTGTCGCCCTGTTGGGAAGGCCCAGCTCGTGTTGTCAAGAAATTAGGGCCTGTTGTATTCCTGGTAAGGAATCTATATGGAGAAGCTCGTGAGCGTAGAGTTCATGCTAATTACATGAAGCCCTACTATCCACCCCAGGAATTGCATCTGCCACACGAGGCTGTAGATAACGAAACAGATCATGGAAGCAGAGGACCCCTTTGCTGTTGCCTTGCTTGCTGCCTGTTCAGCCGAGCATGGGTTGCAGTATAATACATTTTGGGTCAAAATGGGTGTGCTTTGATCAATCCGAAAGGGACTTGTTGCGGGTAGGCTTCCTCGTAACTAACGTTTGTCGGCAGCTTCGGGCTCCCGTGCCCGTGGGTAGTTGTAGTGTTCTGATCATTTTAAGTGGGTTACCCCTTTTATTTGAGAAGCGCCATCTCTTGGCCAAGCACGCCTCTCCAAGGAAGGCTGGCCCAAAAGATCACGTTTTTAACTATCAATGTTTTGTAGACTATTTTATTGAGTTTTATTTGTTTTGCTGTTATTTTTTAATTTC